TGACTTAGAAATGTTAACAGCTAATTCCTATTGGTTTAGAAGCTTATGAGAACCAACTAAACTATTTCTGGGGGATGTGGGATGCATTTGGCTACAGCACTCCTCCATGTGGAAACTTCTGGAGTTTCTGTCCAGCTTGATGCCTCTGCCCTGAGGGCCCGAGGTGGATGCCCAGCCAAACGCTACAGCAGGGACTAACTCTTCTGAAGGCTGGTCACTTCACTCTGAGGTGTTGGCCAATGGCATGTTGCAAGGTCCCAAGTGAATTTCTAATCTGGAGCTGAGAGGAGCCTGAGACACAAGCCATTCTGGTCTCCTCCTTTGTCAGATAGGGAACCTGAGGCCAAGAGAAGGGGAGAGATCTTGCCTTGAAACCACACAAGGTGTTAGAGGTAGAATCAGGAGCATCTTAGCTACACTCCCCTCTGTCACTCTGCTCAATTTATGAAACACATCAGTGAAGAACAAAACTTTGGGACGGGGTACACCCAAGTTTGATACTCAGCCCTGCCTCAGTAGTCAAGGGCATGACCTCTAACCTTTCATCTAAAAATTGGGGCTACCAATACCTTCTTGCCACAGTGGTAGTAAGGCTTAGATGTCACTATGTATATAGAGTGCTTGGTGCCATGTGTGACACAGAGTAGCCACTGCTACTCTACTTAGGGAAGTAGTTGTGTAGGGCTAAGTGCATGGGCTTCAGGTAAGGTGGCCTTGAGTTCAGGTTCTGCCACATACAACTGTGAATTACTTACCAAAGGCTCACCTTCCTCATCTGTAAAATGATGAGAGCAGTACCCAGATGATTAGCTCCCCCTACCCACAGCCTGTTAAAGAGTGGAATTTTGTAAACATATTAAAAAAATCAAATAGTGCTACTATTTCATCAGAAGGACAAATTGACTGAGCTAGATGGACAGTTTGTCCTGAAGTAGGTGGGCAAGGTCTTGTGTGCTAGGGAGTCACAGCAGGCACACTTCTGTATCATGATGTACTCTTTATCCAAAAGGGAGCTTTGGAAACCAGAGGCTGTTGGTCCAGGCCCTACAGCAGTTTTCAAGGACTGACTGAGGCAGGCTGGTGCTCCATCACAGTGTTTGCTTGGCTTCCCTAGAGATTCCCACACCCCATTGCCCGCTCAGCTGGGGCAGATGTGTGCATCATTATACTGTAGTCTCTCTCCCTTACACGAACAGCAAAGCAGTGCACAGGAGACTCTGCTGTTGATCATAATCACTCTGAAGCCAGTATATTTGTCACAACTCCTTTGGTGGCAGAATTACAACTCAAACCAGCTTAAACCCAAAGGGGAATTGATTTACTTAGGGTACTGGGAAGCTTTGGGTGAAGCTGGTTTTAAAGCGAGTCCAGGTCCAGGCATGCAAACAGAGCAATTACTGTTTCCTCTGCATCTCCCAGCCCTTTATTCCTCTGTTTAGTCTTCACCCCCCGGGGGTCTTTTCCAGTGAATGGCAAAGAAGGCTAGGAAGCTCTAACCCCAGCTGGAAATTCCAGAGGAGAAAGGCATGACTCTCTCCTTGCAGTTCCAAAAATGGCCTAGAGGGGGCACTCATAGTCTGTTTAAACCACATGATCTAAGACCATTGAAGATGCTGAGTGGCCAAATATGTCCCTTCCCCTCTAGCCAAGGACCTCACAGGAGTACATCATCCCATCTTTACCACTCTGTCAAGTAAGTGCTGCTATTTTTTTTTTCTTCTCAAGTCTAATTTCACCTAGTGTCCATGCAGAACACCACAAACAACAAAAAAATCTCTTTTCTCACAACTCTGGATGTTGAAAGTCCAAGATCAAGGTGCAGGAGGGTTGGATGGGGGCTTTCCTTGGCTTGTATATAGTCACCCTTTGAGCATGTGTGCCTCTGGTCTCTCTTTTTGTGTCCCAATCTCACACTGTCATAATTTTGCAGTGTTAATTGCTATTAATTTTAGCAGTGTTTTTTTTTTTCCCTTGAATATTGCTAGCTGTTGAATAGCAGCCCTTACACCATGTGTGGCTCTGCACAATGGCCACCTGTAGCCACCAACACCTTCCATAGCTGTTTGGTATGGCCCTGTGTCTGGCACCTAGTGTGAGTGGGAACTCCTAGAGCAGCAGATCCTTGTCTGGCCTGCTCAGGCACTCAGTCAACCCATCTGTGTCTAACCGTCTGTGGTCCCCTAAGTTGTGTTCTGCCTTGTGAATGTAAGGTTGCTCTCCAGTGTTCACAGGGGTTATGTGTGTGGGAAAAGGCCCCCTTCTAAAGCTTCAGGAAGTGTGACACAAAAGGTTGGGTCCATCGGTGGAAGGCTGGTGGCTTTGAGTAGTGCTTCTTCAACTTCCCTTCTTTTGGTACTCTCTTGGGGGACCTTATTATAGTACAGATGCTGATGGAGCAGGGCAGGGTGGGGTCTGAGAGCCTGCATTTCTCACAGACTCCCAGGTGAGCCCATGCTCCTGATTGGAGATGATACTCTGAGTGGCAAGGCTTAGAGCAATTCTCCCTCATCCAGCATGCTAATAAACATACTACAAGCCGGACTGAATGAATGGCAGGGTCCTTCTGGACCCTTTGCCTGTTCTGGCCCTTGCTTGTCTGCCTACTTCTTCTAATGTGTTTCCTGTTTGCTTGCTCCACTCCATTCTTTCTTTCTTTTTTTTCAGTTGTGGTGCTGGGGGTACATTGTGGCATTTACAAAAGTTCTTACAATATATCAAATATATCATAGTTGAATTCACCCCCTCCGCTGCTCTCCTTTCCCCCCACCCCATTCCTGGAACAGTTTCAACAGGATGTAAATTGTTTCCATTTACATCAATGTGTACACAGTATTTGTACCATATTCACCCTCCTACACCATGTCCTCCCCTCTCCTGCTAAACAACCTGCTTAGACAGGGCCTTTTTCACCCTCCTGTTTTCTGATTTTGTAACAGAAAAAAAATTTTTGTTTATTTAAGATAGCTATACAGGGAGTTTCATTGTGACATTTCCAGGTTTATGTAGTATAACCTGAATTGGTTCATCTCCTCTATTTTTCTTCTTTCAACCTTAGTCCCCTTCTTACGGGCTTCACTTCATTCTTACTGGCATTTTTAGTTCCTCAAGTAAGACAAATTCTTTCCCACCCCAGTGCCTTTGCACATACTTACTCTTTACTGTGCTTAGAATGCTCCTGCCCCTCATTCCCTCATGACTTGGTGTTCATTTTTCTGTAAGTATTTGAAGTGAGCTCCTTTTCTTCCTTTCCCATGGGACCCTGCCCAGTGTCACTGTAGCAGTTATCTTCACGTGTCATCTTTCTTCTCTTCACTTAATTTGTTTCTTCTCCAGGTCTGGGTGTGCGAGGACAGCATTTTGCACTGTTGTATTCCCAGTGCACCTGCCTGGCAGCAGACGCTCGATCTCTAAGTATTTTGGGAGTATACATGTAGATATGGAAGAAAGGCACATTCCCGAATATCCTTTTGCACATTTGAGCCACCTGTCTGGAAGGTAGACAATAGTGGGAATTTGTTCTTACGAAGGATCACAGAACGAGAAGTCAGAAAAGATGCTACTGTCAAGCCACATCTCATGTGCAGAGATGTCACACTGTGGTCAAAGTGTGCATCTTAAAATAATGAAATGCAATAAACCTGTGATTGAACAGAGTTTGTGCTGGATTAGTTTATGAAGTCCTGGGTTAACCAAAGGTACCACAGGCCTTCACGGCTTTGACAGTGCATTGAGTCTACAAGGGAAAGGACACAACATGTTCCTTTCCTGCTTCCTTTTTCCTCATTAGCAGACGCTTCCCTCTGTGGAAGCTGACAATGACAAACATTTAGTTCCCCAGCCTTCCCTGCAATAAGGGTACAGACATGGGTCCTAGCTCTGGCCAGCAGGACCTGAGCAGAAGTGGACCAAGGACCTCTGGGAAAATTTTTCTTATTAAAATAGACATGCAAAGAGAAATTTCTTTCCTTTTTGATGTGGTGGTGGAAGGATATGAGCCTGGAGCCACAGCAGCCTCTTGCAAACATGAGGGGACCCACTGGCAGAAGGCAAAAGCCAGCATCCCAAGGATGGTGAAGTGAAGAGGTGCAAAGAACCTGGGCTCCGGATGGCATCAATGAGCTGATGAATTTACTCACCTTGCATCTTGGGTTCTGGCTGTGCAAGACAACATGTGTTCTCATTGTTTAAGCCACTGTTTTTTCTTTTTGGCAGTGCTTGGGGTTGAACTCAGGGCCTCATGCTTGCAAGGCAGGTGCTCTAACACTTGAACCACCTCTCTCACCAACCCCCTTTTCCATTGGTTATTTTACTGTATGCCTAGGCAAGTTGGCCTGAAATACTTCTATGTATGCTTCCCCACATACCTGGGATGATAGATGTGTGCCACTGCACCCAGTTATTGGTTGCCATGGTGGTCTCACTAATTTTTGCCTGGGCTGGAATGGCTGATCTTCCTGATCTCCACCTCTCAAGTAGCTAGGATTACAGGCTTGAGCCGCCATGACCAATCTTAAGCAACTTTTAAGAAGGGGCTTTTTACCTGCTGCTGAAGGGGACTTGCCTGCTAAGAATGATAGGCTGGTCTCTCCACTCAGGCAAGCTGAGACTGTGGTAATTATGCATCTTCTTCAAAGCTGTTTCCTCAAATCTGTGAGACAAGATATTAATTATGGCTGCCTGTGAGTTGATGATATGTATGAAGTTCTCAGCATAGAACGTGGTGCGTTGTTGGTGCTTAATATTATTTTTGATCACGGAATCTTATTTATGGTTAGAACATCCCCTGCTATCTCTAGCTTGAGGTACCTGTGTTCTGTGGAAAACAAGCTGGGTAATGTGGACCCTCCTCAAATATTCTCTTTATAGGAGAGAAACTGAGGCCAAAGAAAGAGGTGCTATTTAGTTTTATTCACTTGAAAAATGTGCATGGTTCAGCCTCTTCCCACCCCAGTCATTCCCACCCACACCAGAAGCAGCACAAGGACACGAGTTTGGGTTGAAATGATGTGCTTTTATGGGAAACAAAAATGTCCAACAACAATAACAAAAGCCCTTCAATCCTGCAAGTTTCTAACCAGTGACAATGAGGCAGTTTCAACGATTGCGTCTGGCTGGGGTCATTTCTAGTTGGTCAAGAAAGTTGAAAGACATTGGCCAAAAAGAGAAGTTGCAGGGAGACTTTTAAATGAGGGTACATTAGACTTCCCTTCTGGTCCCTCCACCCTGTCACCCTTTCAACTTGTAGCTTCCTCTCAGTTTCTACTTCCCAATTCAATCTCCTCTAGAGCTTTCCTTGGTCTACACCACGGCATGCGCCTTTTCAGTCGTGCACACCCCTTTCTTGTGACTTCTATCACGTTCTGCCTTGCGTCCACTAAGTCTGGGTACATGCCTTAGGATACCCTCTCTTACCAGGAATACCCCTGAGACCAGGGTCCATGTTGATTCATTCCAGTGCCCCTCCCCCCACCCCCATCCAGTGTTCAGTATTCAGCAGGTGCTCAGCATCAACAGGTGCTCAGTGCAGGTTTATTGAATTGAAGGGACTTCTACATTTGCCACACTGCATCATCAGCCTTTTGAGAGTCATAATTGTCATTTTCACTTTGGACTCAAAGCAACTTCAAGAAGGAACAGCCATCCCCAAACATTGCCAACTCAGGGTTAAAGGTTTGGAGAGGGGACAAAAGAAAGTTAAGCTTTCATCCTTGTTCCAGAAAGCAAGAGAGGCAACCACTGGGGCATCAAGGATGACTACAAGCTGTATTGACCAGTACCTCATTTTGGAATTCCCTAAGCATCCACTGTTCTGAAAGCTTCTGTCATGAGACCTGGCCAGTTTTGCAGCAGGAGCCAGGGATTGATGGGGGTCAGGTATGGTCTCGCTGTAGGCCCAGGGACCAGTGGCACAGTTCAAGAACCTTTTTTGGGGAGTGTGTGTCTGGTTGCTTGGTTGGAGCTGTGGTGGGAACATTAGCCCTGTGGTGTGTGGATCATCAGGCACATAGATTGAAATAAGGCTGAAGAGTACAGGCTGCAACAATGGCCTCTCCTAGAAAGGACGAAGGGTCAGGAGGTCCTGGAGCAGTGAGAGAGAGTGGAGGGTCCAGGAGATCCTGTAGTGGCATTCTACCAGGTGTCTGGTTCTCTCTCCTCTCCCAGCTTCCTCTCCTTTCCTCTGCTTCTCCAAGTCTAGGCTCAACAAAGGGGCCAGTTGAAGGTGATAGAGGGAAGGGATGTGCCTCTTTCATTTTCCTACCATGAATCCTAGATTTGGAAAGGGAGAGGTCTGGACCAAGGGAGAAGGAGGAGGGTGAATGAGCTGAGAGGCCAACATCCTATGTACTTCTGTCTACTGGGTAATGAGTGGGTTTGAGGATCACACCTCTGCGCCACCCCAAAGAGCACTAAGCTTCTTGAGGGTGTGGAGAAAATTCTTCATGAGCCCTCAAAAGCACTCACTGATTTGGGGGGATCGCTACAGATCTCTCATGGGAGCTTTCCCATGAGAGAACAATAGCTTTTGAAAACTTCGTGGTGAGTGTCAGCCCTGGAGATGGGGGCAAGGGCCAAGAGGTGGAGCAGAGAGACTTCTCCAGGCACCTTTTCAAGGAAAGAGAGTTGGACCTTGAGGGGCTCAAGTTAGGACAGATGTTTCAGTATAAAAAGGACCCCCCAGTAAAAGGACGGAGTCCCCTCAAATCCCTTCCCACATCCCACAGCACTTAGAAAAAGAGAAGTAAGGAGCATAAAAATACCTCGATGATTGCCTGACAGTACAGAAAAGCAAGTCTCATGGCAGGCAGCGTGTCTGTTACACAAGAGGATTATACCGCGCGTCAGTATAGAGATTTACATACATCTTTATATAAATGCATCTACATGTATAGGGCTTCTGCTAGAACAGCCGGGCTTGCTTCTTCAGTTCATTCCTCTTCCAGAGGGCTAGCCGCTCGAACTCTGAGATGGTCATGCCGAAGACTTGATAGAACTCTTCTTGCGACAGGTGGCGCTGGAGGGAGTGGAGGGGCAGAGAGAGAACAGCATGAGGAAGTGAGGTGTGGGCTGCTGGCGGGGGTGGGGGTACACAGCAGTGGTCACTATATGTTCCCTCTGGGTGTCCTGTGCCTGGCATAGGGTCTGATCCAGGGAGGTATGTGGTAAGTGTGCGTGAGTGGCTGAAGGTAGAGATGGAGTTTTCCCATAAGGGTCCTCTGGAGCTGCTCTGGCTGGGGAGGCCTCCCTACCAATGGCTCAGGGGGGCACTGGCTTTGCCTAAGTATCCCTTTATGCACCCTGGTTGACCTCATCTTTCTGCATCCCTTCCCTATGCACTCTGTCCACATATGTATGCATTAATGCCATCCTTCTTTCCTTTATGAGAAAAAGGAGGTGTATACAAGATTTTAGGATATATTTCCTCTTATTATAAGTGATCTGGAAGGCTGCTCACTGGTCCAATGGAAAAAAAATACTGTTCACTTTTCTCTACCCACTGAAATGTCCTTTCATCTCCTTCCTATGTGAAAACAAGTTTTCCATATGATCAAACATTGTTCTGCCTTCCCTGGCAGGCTCCCCGCCCTTTTCTGCCTTCCTTCCCTCCCTCTCTTTCAGGCAGCCTTGAAGGTGTGAAACATGGTCAGAAGGCTTCAGGGTTAGATGCACAGGATATAAAATTGTGGTAAAACGCTAACAATGGTGCACTGGGTTGAAAGGTGGATGCATGTTCATTTTACTATCCTTGGAGTTTTCCTGGAGGTCTGAAAAATTTTAAATGAAATTTAAAATTTTAAAATATTAACTAACAAGTATGGAAAGAAATTTAGCGAGAGTTACGTGTACAGCCACATAATAATTAGTTGGTTCTCTGGCCTGCTGCCACTGTGAATGGCAGACATGGGTGAATGATCTTGGATAAGTGACTTAACCCTCTGGAACCTCAATTTCCTCTTCTGGAAAGTGACAGCAAGCTTAGTACCTACCTCACTGGTGCCATGAGGGTGAGTGTGAGGATACAGATCACGACCAGCACAAGGAATGCCCTTAACCCCTGCTCACTCTCACTATTGCAGTCATCTTTTCAAGTGCCCATCACATAGGGTGATCTGGTCCTTATTTCCTTTGATGTCACCTCCTCCTCATCTTCTCTCTGTGCTCATGTGACCCCAGCCACACTCACCTCTGGTGTCATCAATGTTCTTCCTCCTTAGGAAAGCATGGCTAACTCTCTCCCCCACTTGCAGTCTTTGCTCAAATGTCACACAGTGGATGAGAACTACTTGATAAGTTTTTATTCTTGGTAGTTCTGGGGTTTGAACTTAGGGATTCACTTTGCTAGGCAGGTGCTGTACTGCTTGAGTCATGCCACCAGTCCCTTTTGCTCTGGTTATTTTGGTGATAGGGTCCCACTTTTTTTTGCCAGTGCTGGCTTGGACCAGTGGCTTTCTGCTCCCACTGTGATGACAGGTGCATGCCACCATGCTCAGCTTTTTTCCATTGAGATGGGATCTTTTAAACTTTTTTTTTTTTTTTTTTTGCATGGGCTGGCTTGGAACCACAATCCTCTCAATTTCAGCCTACTGTGTAGCTGGGATGACAGGTGCATGCTATTGTACCTAGCTATTGGTTGAGATTGGGTCTCCCAAACTTTTTGTCCTGGCTGGCCCTGAACTGTGATCCTCCCAATCTTAGCCTTTCAAGTAGCTAGAATTATAGGCATGAGCCATTGGCACCTGGCCTAACTAGCTTATTTAAAACTGCAATTCACCACTGTCTGTAACTCCTAGTCCCTTGCTCTGCTCTTTTTTGACTTTTTCCTTAGCCTTATTACCTTCTAGCACCTATAGCATTTGTTCTTTACTTGTGTCCTTTAGGCTCTGTCTTCTCACAGATCCTCCAAGAGGATCTGTTTTGTTCACTGATACATTGCAGGCACCTAGAACAGTCCTTGGTGTATGTAATGGACTTTTAATAAATATTTGTTGGGTGACAGATATCTGTACTCTGAGCTGCTTGAGGATAACATCAGACATGAGGTACCTTGAATTGGATGCAGGGGCTAGGTCAGGATTTCAAGCCCAGTGGTTCAGCTCTACATTTTGGACATTCCTGGGAGCTTTTAAAAAATACGGATGCCTGAGCTCCTTCCTCAGATTGCAATTTACTTGGCTTAGGTGGGGACTCTGTGATAAAGAGCTCCCTGGGTAATTTGGATGCTCAGGGAGGATGAGCTTTCCAGGCTTGAGTTTCTAGGGGGCCAGGAAATGTTCACAGCTCCTTAAAGGGGCTCCTGGAGCTGCCTGGGAGCTGTCCCCTTCAGCACCATCAGCCACTCTGACACAGAAAAAGGAGGTCCTTGTTAAAAAAAGTTCACAGGAGTTCTCAGACTGCTAACCCATTATGCTAGAGCTGGGAAGACTCACAGAGCTTCCTGGCTCACTCACAATCCTCTCCTTCTGCCTCTGCCCTAGGTGAATTCTTCAGTGTCAGGTCGACAGTGGCTCACATGCTTCCAGCAAGCACAGAGCCTCCTCTTGTAGAAGCCTGCATTCAAGTCCACAAAAGTTTCCTGCCATCTCCCCAAGCCATGCCCTGTGGTAGAGGACAGGCACTCTTTGCCCCTAGGAAGCTCAGAGCAGGCAGAGGAAAAAGAGAAGTGAATGGATCTGATGCAAATGAGCATCAGACAGTTTGATCTGCTCCTGGGATATGGGCAAGAAGAGGCTGCAGGAACAGGTGAGTGATCATCCCGAGGACTAGCATGGGCCCTGAGGAGGGAAAGGCAAAGCTCGCTCCAGATCACAGGTGACCAGATGCTGGTGCTCCACGCCAAGTATATCGTATTTCTTGAATTCTGTGCCCTGCCCAGGCCCACCTCTGCATCTTCCTCTGCACGGTTTCCACCTCTCATCATGCTCCCCTCCCTCTCTCCATCCAAAACCCACGCCCCTTCTAAGTCCATCTAAATCCTTCCTCCTCCTGCAAGCCAGTGTCAAACCACCCAGGTCTTCATGGCCTTATCTGAATAGCAACAATCTATCAGCTCTCACATCTATTGAATGCTTTATACTCAGTCAATTGCCAGACTTTGCTCTGTGTTTTGTTGCACCTACTTCTCTTGGCAACTTGAGGGACACACAACGCTCACCCTCATTGAGCAAGGAGAACATGCAGGTTTAGTGCGGTTGTCACTTGGCTAAGGCTGCCCAACCTAGTGATGGCGGATGGCACATACAGGGACTCTGCATTGATTTACGCTTTTAACCTCTATACGGTGTTGCCTGCCCCATGCTCCCCACCATGAGTACCAGCTTTAGGTACAATCCTCAGACTGTGGCCTCCTTGGGGGCAGGGACCAAGTCTAGCTCTGCTCCTGTCTACGGAATATCAGCTTAGGTGAGGACACCTGCTGCTGTGCACCACAGGTCCTGCTGGGTTGAAGAGGAGGCTACAGAAAATGGTTCAAGTGTCTGCCTTCATTCTGTACACGCTCCTAAGCTGGGTTGGGCCAGGAATCTTTGGAGTCTCTTCAAACCTGAAGGCTCCTGCTCACTTTTCTAGACTTACCTCTAAGCGGGTCCGGTCCACATCCTTGGGCAGTCGGTTTCTTCCTCTTGTGGTCACCAGCAGCAGTTCGTAAGGGTAGATCTAAGGAGAAGGGAGGGTGTTTCCAGCTTGGGAAAGGGTGATGGGCTTGTCTCTTACAGTTTTGTGTCTGGACTCCTTCTCCTTCCTCTAGTAAAGGTCAGTCTGGAGGAAGGATTGGGCCTGCTTTCCTTTGGGTTGCCCAGCAGCCTTAGGGTATCTTCTTCTAAAGGGTAAGGTCCTACTTCTAGGGATAAGCTTGGTGGCATTTGGCACTAATGTGGACACAGGACCTCTTTTGGGGGCCCCGGGGCAGGGTCAGATTTCAGTAGTCAGGAGACCTAGGTTAGGGTTAAGGGAGAGGGCCAAGGAGGGGAAGAAAATGTTATTCCTGAAAGATTGTTCATTTATGCTTCTTCTCTGCACAGCTCGTGTGGCCATCCTCTTGCTGGTCCCAAAAGTAGTGGCTCCCAGAGTCCTGGAGACCCCCTAGAGTCTATGAGTTCTTTACCTTGTACTCTGCAGAGAGAAAAGAGACACACCCAAACAAGAACTCATCAATGTTTGTGTCACTACACTGGCTTCTGTCTTATTCTCCTAGAGGGCCTGGCCTCCAAACATCTGCTCTTGACCATCAGAGATCCTGTCCTTGCTGAGGTCACCATGGAGGACAGTCCGGCTAGGATAAGTGTGGTGGATGGCTGGAGACAGGGGTTGGGCTGATCTTGAGATGACTTTAAGAGATATTTAGAATCGAGAGAAGACAAATCTGAGATCGTGAAACCCATAGGTATCATGCTCCATCTTCTGGGGGTAAGCTTCCAAGTTGTTATTTTTTTGGGGGGTATATTAACTGTACAAAGTAAGGAGTTTCACTGAGATATCTTCATACATGCATACAGTGTTCTTTGGTCATGTTCACTTCCTCTTCCACCAAGGTTTTGATGTGGCTCCTCCTGCCTATGCCTGCTCAGAGGCTGGAGTGAGAGCTTCCCTGGCAGACAGAATTAAGCTAATGGAAAATTTTCTGGGAACAATATACATTTGGCTCTAAGTGTTTCCCTCCACAGGGGTTGGCTGGGAGCTCTGGCTCAGCAGAACAGGGCAGTCGGCAGTCTGTGATGCTCTGGGAACCCATATGGGACAGATGGCCTGGAGACCACCCAAGGCCGGGGACTTGAGAGGATGAGGGAAGAGGAGGGGAAAGGAGGCAGTGGAACGGAAATGAAAGGGAGTGGGAACTTGGGGTTTGGACAGAGCCCAGTGTGGGACAGAATCTGTAGCAATGGCTTGCCAAAGGTCAAGCAGCAGTTATGAACAGTACATCCGGAGTCCCTGGGAAGTCCCAGGAGGGCCCTCCCCTGCAGCCCAGACAGCCCATGCTCACCTCGCATGCCCCAGTTGACTGCGTTCATGCTGTCATAGTGGAAGAGGTCTGCGCTGGGTGTCTGTAGGAGAGACAGAGAGAGAGAGAGAGAGCCAGGCTGGCCTGAGAGGAGCTCACCTCCTCTTCCCCTGAAGCACTCAATCCCCTCCAGAGTATGGAACAGGGCTGGTGGGAAATGGGGCCTCTCAGCAGCCTGCCTCAAGTTAGGGAAACCTAACTCACTGAGATCTTCCTACACCCAATCCCAGCACAGATGAGGCACTCACTATATATGAATTTATTTGGTGAGTTTCATCTCATGCTTTCATCTATTGCTCAAATCCCCCTTTTTCTATGAGATCTTCCTTGACAGCCCTGTTGAAAATTCAAGTTGCTCCCTCTACAAACTCTCACTCTTCCTTCTTCTGTCCATCATTTTCTTTTTTTTTCCATAGCACTACCTTCTAGCATTCTACATAATTGGACTCATTTCCTACTTATTGCATACTTTAGTTCTTCCTACAAGAATGTAAGCTCCAAGGGGTAGAGATTTTTGTCTGTTTTGGTCACTGATGTATTCTTAGCACCAGAGTAGTAAGTGTCATATAGAAGGAGCTTTCAATAAGAACTAAATGTCTCACATCTGAGTGCTGTGAGGACAGGGTTCTTAGCAGACAGGCGTCATTACAAGTCATTGCTCTCCAGTGGTGCAGTGACCTCTTTTTGATGTGCTATCCTATGGCAGTCTCCTAATGGATCTAGGGCTTCTGCCCCCTGCAGGTTCCATTCCACACAAATCTGAGTTGGATTACAATGGGCACAACTATCAAAACCCTCTGAAGTCCTCACCTGGTGTGAAAATCCCTATGATTGGCTGGTTTCATGTCCTCACTCCCCCATTCTGGTCACATGGCTCAAAACTATTGTGGCCTCCCCACCCAGGGACTTAGATATTGCATCCAGTGGTTCTTGCAGTTCTTCAAGAAGTAAGGTCGCCTCCCCACAGTTGGACCTTTGTTTAAATTCACCCCCTCTGCCTACTCTCTCTCGTTTTCCACACTAGCACCTCTAACTTCCTGTCTTTGCATTGCATTTTCTCATGGGTTGCCCATCTCCCACTAGAATGCGAGTGCCACAGGAGAAACGACTTCACCCACTGCAGGTCCACATACCTGGAACAGTGCCTGGCTCTCAGTAGTTGCTCAATAAATCTATCTCAGTGTCCCTGCCCTTTGCCTCATCACTTGTCTAGCTGCACACTCTCTCCTACTGCTAACAAGTCATGTTCTCATGCCCTTTCAGCCTTTAAACAAGCTCACTCCTGCCACAGAGCTCATGTGCCATGTTAGAGGTCACTGTCATGTGGCAGTTGGGGGTGAGTTATGGGGTCAGTTGGTCTGGCCTAGAATCCTGACTCTCACTGGATATGAGAGCTTGGGCAAGTCATCTCACTCTTCTGTGTCTTCATTTCCTTACCCACAAAGTGGGGTTCATGTTACTGACCACTTCCCTGGGCAGTGAAGATAGCAAGGGTCAGTGCTATTAAAGGCAGTATATGGCACAGAGTTCTTGACCAGCAAGGGCAGGTTAGCACTTCCCTCCCTGAGGTCCCTGTGAAAATGGGAAGGGAGCACTTCATTGCCACTGGGTCCTTTCAGCTAACCCATCTCTAGCCCTGAGGTCTTTCCCCCAGTCCTGCCCACACATAGTCAACAGAGCACTGAGCTGACTTGTTTGCATCTTGGGGTGAGTCCCGTGCAGCCCCTCTTACCCTGTGTAGCCCATTTCTTCTGTAGGCAGGCAGGGAGGCAGATTTGGAGATGAGGGGATCTGAAAAGAAGGAGCCAGAGCAATTACCAGGAGCCCCAAGCCAGGGGTCGTTGTTCCTGACTACAAATGGCCAATGATACTCCCAATGCAGTGGGAAGGCATGGGAGCCAGAGGGCACCTGGTGTTCCTGATGTACTCCACACCTGAACCTTGACTGTCTCAGGAGGCCTCTTTCTAGCAGAAATCTTGACCCATTAGAGGTACCCACTCACTCACTTTTCTGGCCTTGACCTATACACAACTATCTTTCTATGATGAATCCCTGTTTTCTGGGCATAGGATAGCTCTGCACAAAGGCTCTGGAATTGAAGTCAAGCTTAGAACTAGACAGGCAGTCTCCCAGGTGGGCGGGAGAGGCATGTGCTCTTTCTTTCTCTTTGGAAGCTGTTGGACAAGGCAGCCCTATTTCTAGAACCCCAAACTGAGGCCCACAATCTCACAATTGAAATGAGTTGGACTATATGTGATTAGGACAGTGCTGAGGAAGCCATACTGTCTGGCTATCAGAGTTATGGGAAACTGCAGCTGTCTTGGCTGTGTCCTCACAGGACACGATGGGTTGAAGGTGGGGCAGGCAGAACATACCGCTGTCAGCCAGGTAGTGAGAACGAGGGGCTGCAAGAGAGAAAAACCGGAGATCAGTATCCATGGGGACAGAGAGGCATGGTGGAGGCAGCTGATGGGAACAAAGAGATATGGCTCCCATACTCCCTGGCTGGTGGGAAGGAGGGGCCTCCTTCAGTACCTCCTTCCCCACTGGTCAGTTGTCACACCTGCATCCCATCCTCCCTTTCCTGCCCAGCTCCCACCTGATATAGAGCAGGTGCTCTGCAATATTTGTTGAACAGACCTAATTTTTTTTTTTTTTTTTGCAGTTCTGGGGATGGAACCCAGGGCCTTGCACATTCTGGGCACAGTCTCTATCACTCAACTGTATCCTCAGCCATCAAAGATGAATTTTGAGCAGTCCTGGTGCACTGCACAGAACCAAGCTGGGCAGGGGGGGTGGAAACAGTGCTCCTCAGCCTCTGTCTTTAGTAGTTACCTAACTTCAGACAAGTTACTTAATCATACTTAGGTTTTCTCATCTATAAAACGAGAGTGATAGGGTCTCCTTTATGGGGCTATTCCAGCGCATATATGGCATAATACAGTAAGGCACTTAGCACAGTGCCTGATGGAAACATAACACTTCATAAAACTCGCTTCATCATCGTTAGCACCCTGCCAGCATCTTCATTCTCACCAAGATCAAGGTGCAGTAAGGTGTCTCGCCAATTTAGGTCTGACCCTGGCTCACTTACTTGTTTTCTGACCTTTGGCAAATGACTATCCTCACTTCTCTCATCTATAAAGAAAGTTTAATAATTTGACCACATTGCCAGGATTTTTAAGGACCAGGAGCAATAACGGGTTCACCAATGCCCGGCACAAAGGAGTATATAGTAAATTGTACCTTCTGTTGCCCACCAAGCATTGTCCTGGGATGGGATTTCCCGGCAGTACTGAATCCACAGAGGTAAGAAAAAGAGGAGGTGGATAGAGCATGTGTGAAGCCTAGGAACTGGAAGGGGCTTGCAGTGGGAGCCTCTCAAGGTGAAGTGCTGGAGCCCAGCCTCTGCCTGTACACCTCCAAGCAACGGCAGGCCCAGCACTCAGGAAACAGACCCTGAATCTTTGAGCAATTCAGGTCATGGTATTAGGAGATGTTTTTCCTTATACTCAACCTGACTGGAAGTCACAGCTTCAGATGGATCAAAGAAGCAAAGTGAGTGCTCAGGGGAGAGCATAGTCTCATTTGTGGCTCCAGCCAGTTCCTTGCCAGAGTCTGCATTACAGACCCAGGGGCTGCTCCCGGAGGGACCAAGAGATGGGAAGGTGAGAGAGTCTGGGGCTAACCTTCATGGCCAGGCTGTCTTGATTCCTTTGTTAGTCCAAGGGATTGAGTTTGGGGCTGGCTATGTTCCCACAAAACTTTGAGGAAGGGGACCTGATGGAGAAAGACCCATCACTTAGCAACTCAGTGATCTGGGGTAGCCTCAAGGCTTCTGTGTCTTAGTTCTGTCTGTAGATGTGGGACCCCCTGTTGCACAGGGGTGCTGGGAGGAAGAGGAGGATGTTTGGTTTGTGCCTCACAGGGTGCCTGGCCCAAAGTGAGTAGTCAACAGGTGTTGGTGTCCCAAGTGGTGCTTACAGCCATTGAGGGACATCTCATAGCCAGCAGTGTGCAGGGCCTCCCGGCTGCTGGTGGAGCTCCGGGGAGGCGTCCAGGGATCTGCATAGGAGCTGGACCGTGCCTTCATCTCCTCCTTCAGAATCAGCCGGCCAATTCCACTCTGGAGCTGGTGTGGGAAGAAGCAAGATGAAGTTAGAAGTAAGCACAGGACATTGTGATGGAACAGGTTTGGGAAGGGCTGAGCCACTGGGCTCTCTGTAGGAATCTCTGTCATTTCCCCTTTTTACCACCCCTTTCTGCTTGTAGCATCCATGTTTTCCACTTGAACCTAATCTTTCCTCCACAAGTAGTCCTGAGGTCTGGGTGAGACTCTGGGGGTCAGCACAAAAAAGCCTATCTGGCCAGCTTCAGGATCACACTGTCCTGACCATTTGGTGACTGGTTCAGTGGTGAGTAGACAGCCATCATTTTTTTTTAATTGCAGTGAAAATCATGTAACTTAAAATTATCCATTTTGAAGTACTGTCATCCTTCAGTAGCCTCAGGAGACTGGTTCTAGGAACTGCTCCCCTATCCCTCGGATAACCAAATCCTCAGACACTCAAGTAGTTCCTTATATAAAATGGTGCAGTGTTCACGAATAACCTATGCGCATTCCCCTGTATACTTTAAAGCATCTCTAGATTACTTATACAACTACCTATGATGAAAACGCTATGTGATGGTTGTTTAGGCAATAGTGACAAGGAAAAAGGTCTGTAAATGAACAGTGCAGACATAATTTTTTTCAATTTTTTAAAAATCTGTAGTTGGTTGAATACATGGATGTTGAGCCTGCAGTTGGGGAGGGGTGATTATAAACAATTCAGTGACATTTAGTAAATTCACAATGTTATGCCACATGCCACTCCATCAAGTTCAAATATATTTTTATTAGCCCAAAAGGAGACCCATTCCCTTCTCTATCAGACCTTGGTAACCATCAGTCGATGTTGTATCTCTTTGAATTTGTCTATTTTGTATATTTTATATAAGTGGAAAAATATAATATGTGGGCTTTGGTGTCTGATTTCTTTCACTAAGCATAATATTTTCAAAACTCATTCACATTGTGATGTGTATCAATCCTTTGTTCCTTTTTATGACAGTAAATATTCCATTGTATGGATATAAACATTTTGTTCACCCATTTGTGAGTTTATGGGCATTTGGACTGTTTCTGCCTTTTGGCTGTTATGAGTAATGCTGGTATGAATATGTGTCACATATATTTGTTTTAGTCTTTGTTTTCAATTTTTTCGCTGCCTCTATGGTAATTCTACATTTAACTTTTTAAGGAACCATTGAACTTTTCCATACCAGCAACCTATGAGGGCCATTGTCACAGGCTTGCCACTCCTGTCTTATCATGAAACCAATGCAGAGGCAAGCCCAGAAGTGAAGAGATAACTTTCCTACAGCGTTTTCTTTTTTTGAGCAGCTAGATCTAGTTATACTTGAAGCTAATCCTACCATTTGACTTTTTAGTTATGCAAACTACGCAGTTCTTTTTTCTATCGTAAGTGAGTTTGAAGTTGGTTTCTGTCACTTGCAAATGAAAAATTCCTCAGTAACATACTCTCTAAGCATTTTATTCAGTGATGTGGCCTGCTCACCTTGTGCATACTGCGGTCAAAATCGTCCTCCTCTCCTCCAGACGAGAACCTTCTGGCTCGGGGCACTGCCAAAGGACAGATGACATCAGTTCTGGCATGTGCTCCCCACTCAGTCCATGTTGGCTTAAGCCATTGCACTTCCCATACCCTTCCCCTCCCTTCACTCTCCCTTCCCCCCTCTCCCCCTTCCCTTCCTTCCTTCCTTCTACAGTTTAGTCTAAGACACCTTTGGGAGTGGTCTCTCCTGCTTTTTCAATCTCTGCACATTTACTTTCCATGGGTGCTGATCCTTGTCCATTTTGGGTTACAGCTGTTTCTGTGTCTTACTTCTTCTCTAAATGGAGAATTTATTCTCTGAAGCTAATGAAGGAGTTATCTCTGAGCTTCTGTGAAGCTTTGCTTAGAATGGACATTTAATTAGTAAAGCCAAATGTTGAATCAAAGTGGATTTTGAAGAAAATTCCTCCCCATACTTGAAAGGAACAGCTTGGGCTGTGATGGTGTTCTGAGGAGCAGGGTGCCTATAAGACCCTGTGAGACCCTTTCATCTCCCCACATCCTCTCTTTCTATCCTTAAGCCATTTCTCACCCTACAAAGCAGTCTTTCAAAATGACAAGTGTGATCCTGCCACTATTCTCAATAGCTGCTTACTGTTTAGGATAAAACCCAAATCCTTACTTCAACTTATGAGGCCTTGTTGAGCCTCCTCTCTCATCCCCCACTTGCCTCTCTCATCCCCCACTTGCCTCTCTCCCTCTCCAAGGTCAAGGTGAAGTGGGCAGCCTTTCCTTTCCTTCTGTGGAAGCCAGTCTCCCATCTGGGGTCTTTGCAGATGTGTTTCTATACTTCTTGCTGACCTGCTCCCTTGTTTCCTTCCTTTGGCAGCTGAGTGGCTGCATCTGAGAGGCTTTTGATATCTTCTGGCTGGACAGCACACTCCTGCCAGCAACCTTCCCACCTCTTGTGTATCATCTCCCTCTCACGGTTGGGAGCTAGATCTCCTTCCTAGATCGGAGAAGCAATCTGCTGTATTTTGCCCCTCCCCAATCCCTAGGATCTGTGGCTGGCTCTTAATATGTGTTGTTGAATGAATAAAAGCCCTTAGTTGTATCTCTTCCAAGCAGTCTCCTTCAGAATGAAGGAACGGAGGACAGTCCTGACTGCCTGAGTCCCTGGCATAGTCGATAGGGCTCTGGCCCCAGGGACACATGGGGATACTACCTTTGGGGGACCCATGGTAGGTCCAGTACTCAGACTCTGCAGCATAGTAGGGGTCTGGTGAGTAGGCTGGACTGTACTTGGAGGTCTGGCTGATGTCTTCACTTGTTTTGCTCTTTGTTGTTGTAGACAAATCACCTGCAAAGGACCCAAGGAGAGCACTTCAGGAAGGCAGAGGTCCTAGCTGGGAACATTGGCCTTTCCCCTGTCTGTCAGGTTCTAGCCCAGGGAGAAAGGCCACTTTGAAGTCAGAGGTCTCTGCTAAGAGGGTCTGGGACATGGAACATCAGAGCTGGAAAAGCCTTTGGTTTAAGGGTTGGGGGTGCAGTTCAGTGGCAGAGTGCTTGTTTAGCATGTGCAAGGCTCTGGGTTTCATCCCCACCATTGGAAAAAACAAAACAAAACAAAAAGAGTAACAAAAAAAAAAGAAATCCATTTCCAGAAAAGCCTCAGTTTACATTTGGGAATCTGAAGGCCAGAAACGGGAAGGGGCTTGCTCAATTCCTGTACCTTGAACTAGATCAGGCCCTAGCCTAGGAATCCTTCCAGCACATTCCATGGACTCCCAGGTCTGCTCCTTAGTGAAAACTAGATCCGTATCCTCAAAGTAAGACTGAAAGATCCCAGTGAGCCCAGCCCTTTCCTTCCTGGCCCTTTTGAATCCTGCCTCATTATGGATTTGAAGCATGTCTGTGAGAGGATCACCAGGCAGGGTCATGGTACATGCTGAGTTGGATCACCTTTTCCTCACATCCTGAATACCACATCCTGTTTGGGGAGGCTTCATGGCCTGAAGGAAGGGACCCTGGACAGGAAGTCAGCAACGCTGGGTTCTGCTCCAAGCCTGCCACTTAACCCAGGTGAAACACTGGGCACATCCTGACCAACTTTGCCCCAGTTTCCTCATCTGTAAGTGTTGGAGTTGGTGTGCAGGCTCAGGGACTACCTGGCATCAAGCATCCATTTGAATCTTCAAGCTTCATCTGAAGTAAGCCCATAATAGAGGTGGCTAAAATACCCACTGCTGGTACAAATACTTACAAGGCAGTGACTTTCGAGTGGTTCAAATACTGGTGACATGCTGGTTGGGCAGAGAGAGAGGGACAGGTTGGGAAAACCAGCATGGCTCTGCAATCATTTCTCAGGGAGAGCTATAGGATGGTTTTAGGTACATTCTGCATAGCCAGAGCAGCAAAGGGTCCTGGGATGGATTGACCTTCAGTTAGTTGGAGGCTGTGCACCCTCCCCAAGTAGCACTTGCTTCCAAAGCTTGTGAATTCTCCTTTGAAAGGTCCTGGCTGATTGCATTTCACTATTTCATCTGCTATCTTACCAAACAGCCACCCCCATCCTGGGCTCCTCCTAAGTCTGCTTCGGTGCTATACTTCAGAGCCCACGGAGTCTTGAGAATCCTGGGACCTGGAGGCCTTTTCTGCACATAAAGCCCATTCCTCCTTTTGTCAGGGTTGGTGCCTTTCCCTAACAACTTGGGAGCACATAGCATGTCCTCTACAGTCACATGCTCAAAGACTCACTGTGGACTCCCTGCTAAGCCCCCTCTGAAACCTAAGAAGTTTGTCTAAATTGCAGGGTCTTTAGCACCCAAAGCCACTACTTATACTTGCACTGCATCCTCCACCAGCTTGTTAATTCAGACTCTGATATAGGACTGCTTTGCCAACCTCTAAGCTTGTCCAAGTCTGTGCTCCTTTTTGTTATCCAGTTAGACCTGTAAGCAGGCCAGGATGCCCAGGGTGGCTGCTGTCCTCAAAGGGAAGGATGTGCTTTTTCATGAGTCTAATCAAGTGCTTTTGCAAAAATAAACAGTAGGGCATGGCCATGGATGACTTGGACATTCCCGTACTAAGTGCAAGTAGGAATGAAAGACAAAGCCATCATGGTGACACTTCTCAATGTTTATAATTAAAAGTGAAGGAACCAGGGAATCTGCCCCTTTAGTCTCCAAGGTGCTGATGGTTTGCAGCTCATTCTTTAAGAAACACTAAAGGAATCTATATCCCCTCTCTGAGACCCCATTCACTTCCAGGAGACAGTGACTGAGAACAGCTTACAGCAGTAGTTCCCAAGAGGGGCTGGACATCAGAGTCACCCAGAAAAATGGTTACAAATACAAAATTCCGATTCACTAAGTCAGGGGTGGAGGTCTAGAAATCTGTACACATCCCACATAATTCTAACAAACACTGTTTGATCTCAGTGCCTTGGAGTGTGACTCTCCCAGGAATGGGTGAATTTCTTAAGAATTACTCTGATCATGGAATTTATAACAGCAGACATCAGGTAAAAGGGGGGAGGTGGTGGGAAAGGATTTAGGGGACATGAGGCTTTTCTTACTCTTTTGAAATGACACCAAATACCTCACTCACTGTGAATGATGTGGGGGTAGCCAAAAAGATGGGCCAAGTTGTGGCCTTGCATCCTGTTGTTCCTGGGGCAGACAATACCATCTGCATAGATGGTTAGCATATAACCCCTAACCCCTTCCTTGCCTGGCCAAGCCCTATCTGCCTCTGATCATACCATGCCGTTTGTAGATCGGGGGTTTCCGGTAGATGTTACTTTCTCCAGCTGCCACATAAACCAGCAAGGGACAGTGGGGAGGAGAGAGAAAGAGAGACAGGAGAGAAGGACAGCACTTGGTCAGTTGATCTTGGAAAAAGCAAGATGGTCAGCAACTTTTTCCAAGGGCCACCATCTTTCCCCTGGTGGGCTTCCTCTTCCAAAGTTGAACTTCCAACCTCATCCCAATAGGTTCCAAGTAAGGCAGGAGGTGGTGGTGGTGGTGGGGGCAAGGAATGGATGGATACAAATGGTGCCAAGGAAGGGAGGCGGGGCTGACCAGTAGACATGCAAGACAGGGTTGTATGTTCAGCAGACCCCCATGCGGGAAGGTATTCATTGCTCCTCCCAGTGGCCACACTTCGTTCCATGGGAGAGCCCCCAGGATGCTGCAGCCAAGTTTTAGGATTTACTCCCTCTACCTCCCTCAAAGCCAGATGGGGTAGGATCCTTCTGGGACTGTTGCAAAGGTATAGGTAAAACAGCAGAACAAGCTCTTGTACGGGAAGTGAGTGGGGAGTGAAAAGCTGAGCTTGGGGTTGGGAGGCAGATTGAGACCTGGCACTACTGTAACTCAGGGTGAGATTGTGCCCTGTAAGATCACACCCATAAGGTCATCTAGCCTCTGGTTTCCCTTTACCTCCTATCTCTTCCTCCAGTCACACTGACTTTATACTCTCTGTTTCCTTTGCCCAGGGCATCTTTCCTGGATCTTCACAGGGCTGGCTGTTTCTCATCTTTCAGTTGAAAAGGTGTCCAAGTTGAAAGGGTGTCCAAGACACCCTTTTCTGACCACCCTGCCTAGCCCAGCTTCTCTCACCTCAGTCACTCTGTCATAAAGCCCTGGGTTCTTTCTGCTTATAGCACCCACACCTTCTGCAATTATCCTTTTACCCATTTGTTTACTCATGTGACATCTCTATTCTTGCATTAGGACAGATACTCCCATGAAGGCAGGATCTGAGTTGGAAGGGCCCAGTTTAACTCAAAGCTCATAATGGTGTCTGGCCTCACAGGTAGAACAGAAGAGGCTCAGGGAAGCTAAGTGACTGGCTCCAGGTCACCAGCTTTTAGGCAGCAGCTTTGATGCAAGCAGCCCTCACCACTATGGTACAGCTGTGCACCACCATGGATCCCTACCACTTTCTTCCCTGACGTCCTGGTCAAGGCTGCTTGTGTTGAGTGTGTAGAGTAAAGCCCGTGGATGTGTTCGGGCAGGAGGGTGGGTTAGTGTGGGTGACTGGTTAGGGAGGGTCCCCCAGGTACCAGCTCCTCCTCGGTGCCTATGCAGCATCGAGTGGGCAACTCAGGTGCCTGGCACCCCCACAGAGCATGCACCCATGCCAGAATGCCTGGCTGGCAGCGCCTACCTGGGATGTGAAAGTGCTTGGGAGCCTGGTAAGAGGTCGGAGTGGAGGACCTCACATCTAACTGGCTATGGTATGGAGAGCTCCGGCCACTCTCGGGCCCTGGAGCACGCAGGCAGTGGTCCCCAGAGAGAACAGAGGCACAGAGAAAACAGGCATTAACGCAGTGGCAGATAAGTAAGCGGTGAGGTGATGACAGCAGGGATGGGGTGGGCTGGTGTCCCAGCGTGCTCAGCTCCAGAGTGGGAGAAGCAAGTGCTCTCATGCACCGTGTCTGCAGAAACAAACTTGACCTGCTTCCTTGCTTGACCCCAAAGTCATAGCGCATGGGATGTAAGCATCAACTCTCCTGAGCTTCCGGAAGGAGTCATTGTTTGCTGTGGTCACACTGCCCCTCTCCCTGCCCCCCAGCCTGTCTGGACTCCTCCCTTAATAGCCTCTTTCTTCCATCCAAACATCTGCTTCAACCCAACTCCACAATGACTGTGGACACCTTGATTGGATGGGTGGGGCTGGACCCCAGACCTGTTTCTGGCCTGCATCTCCCTGTGGATGGGGCAGGTAGAAGGATAAGGAGAAGCAGACTTCTTCTAGCTTCTCCTTTACCCACCATCCTGTTGCTTCAGTGCCACCTACTCATATTCCCCCTTCTAGAGATATCTCAGGGACTTGGTCAGGCCCAGTTAGTCACCTGGGTGACCAGAGGGCTGTGCTGTCATGGCTCAGGTTCCACAGGTTCCTCCTGTGCTATCTCTGCAGCCCAGAGATACCAAATCACTGCATAGTCTCTGACTCTTTCTCCACTTCGGGGCTTCCCTTGCCTTACCTGTGCGGTAGTAGTGGTGAGGTGAGCGGGAGAAGGTAGGAGACATTCCCTGCCGACTGTAGGTCGGGGAGTCGATGTATCCTGGGCTGGAGGCCCGTCTCTGCCTGAGGTCCAGATTCTCGTAGATGTCCTGGGAGAGGAGGTGGGTCTGTGAGCAAGGCCTACGGCCCAAGGATCCAGTAGGCAAGTAGGAACATGCCATGAAATCTGGGGCTTTAGGGGCTCAGGCATGAATACAGAGATCCCTTTCCTGAGTTACACACACAGCTTGAGGAAGGCAGCAGAAAGTTTTCAGGGCTTTCATGCATCACTCAGGTCCTTGGATAGAACCTATAGATGAGTTCCTGGAGTCCTGACCGGGGATCACACAGACACTAGGGAGCCCATCTCTGGTATAGGCATGCATTGCTTGTCCCCAAGCATTCCCACTCTTTGTGTCCCTGCTGTGGTCAGGGGGACACCTTGTTTGAGGGATCAGGCCCATTTGGGTGCTGGGGAAGGGTAAAGACAGGGCTCTTCTTAGTCAGCACAAAGGGGCACCTTTTTTTATATCAGCCTAATTACCTGGGAGTAAGGAGATAATGTTCCCAGCGACTTAGAAGAAAGAGTTTGAAGGCAGCCATGGAAGGAGCAAAGTGAGTGAGAGAAGGGCAAGAAAAGAGACAGAATGTGGTTAAATGGTTTGGCAAAAAGAGGGCCTGCAGCTGCCCCGAGTCCCCCTTTGGAACTAATGCCTCATTTAGAATTCCAGAATGTCAGAAGATCTGCTAATAAGAGCTGGGAAACCTTGTGATTATGCCTCCCTTCTGCACATGGAAAAACCATGGCCAGGGAGGCAATGCGAGGCTCAGGGCTGCTCTGTGCCTCTCAGGGAGAAGTGGCAGATCTTGACTTGGACCCAGCTTTCTCCATCACAACTATTTTTACAACCATGCCCTGTGTCTCTCTCTCCCTGTGATTCCTGTGTGGTTCACAAAGGCAATGCCCAAGGAAGGGGATCCAAATGTAGGGTCGAGCAAGGGCCAAGCCACAGCCGTCAGAGCAGGAGATGAGCCTGTGGGCAGCACAGCAAGCTGGACACTGAGTGTCCTGGCGAACAGGGCTGCTACTCAGCTTCTACAGATCAGGGCCATGCTGGAAGCTGCCCAATACTGACCAGCTTCCTAACATCCAAGACAAGTCAGAGATGCAGATTCTTATGCAGACTCTCCTAACATGTTGTCAGCTAATTTACATTTACAGCTAATCATCTGAAAAACACTCTGTGAGTGAATCAAACCATCTGGGAGCTGGCTGCGGTCTGTGGGCCCTGGTTGCCCATCTTTAACTTCAGAAGAGTCAGCTTCTACAAACATTTTATCCCTTTGCCTGGTCCATTTTGGAGCCAAAGCTCAGAGATAATTGGTATTGGGCTCTTCAATCAAATCACTTTAGTGAGGAGGGGAATTGCTGAGGACACAAGCTAGTTAGAAGTAGAACTGGGACAGGAACCTGGGACCCTGACAGGCCAGGCTCCTTCTGCTCCAGGAGACCTGGGATGGAGGGAGAAATCTCCTGGGATACAGATGGTTAAGACCTCCTCTGCAGTGGCCTTTGACAAAGAACTTTCTCTCTTGTCTAGCAACTACAAAGTGATTTCTAAAGCTATCTGATGCTGAGTCTTTCTTTACAAATGTGTCTTTTACTCTAAGCACAGGGGCTTATGGTCAGGCACAAAAGCAAGTCAGCATGCCTAACCAGGGATTATGAAATTCAATGGTCATTGAGCCTGGCAGGGGATAACTGCCACAGGCTGAGTATAAGCAAAACTTCCCCATTGAAAACAATGGTTCAAGTGATAAGTGGTTATAGGCTCTCAGCTTCCATGTTGGGTTAACAGGGAGTTTTGGGTATTAGGGAGAATGGGAAGCCCCTCTCTTGTCTACAGGGGACTCTGCTACCCATCTCTAGACGGTAGAAACATAAATGCAATGTCTGATTTCTCATGAAAAGCCAGAAAGCTTGATTTTTGGATGAAATTTCTTGATTTTTAAATGTTGGATATAAATTCCAGTCTAGAAGACTGGGGGTCAGCACCATGGAGACAAACCCATCTATATATGAAGTGGGCTGGGGACCCCAGTGAGACGTTGGCCTCTCCAACAGCCCCACAAAGGGTAAGACGTGATACCTCTCCATAGCCACATCTCTCCAACATCTCGTCGGACGTGTATCTGGAATGAGGCTCGTAGGAAATGAGGTCGGGGCGTTGCACCTCGTAGATGGACTTAACCTTGGGGAGAGCTGCCAGGTCTTTGTAATTAAGGATCTCATTATCCACTTTAGCCTGGGGAAGAGGAATGGACAGGAAAGAAGTAAAAAGATAAGAGGGACAAAAGAAAAGAGAGCAGAAACAAAAACAGGGTACAGGAGGACCAAGCTTCTCCAGTTTCCATTTAAAAATGAAATATTAGGCTTGAATGGAAGAGTTGTAGAACTTAGCATAAGCACGGTGTTAGAGGCCATCCATCTAACAGGGTGAATGTTATTGAGCACATATTGTTTCTGAGGCCTCCTGATTTACAGGAATTAATGGCCTCTAAATGTCCTAGTGCCTCTGAGTATCAATATTTTTCCTATTTTCCAGATGAGGAAAATGAAGCACGAAAGGTTTCATTACTCCCACCACTTAGCTAGAAGATTTGAATCCACAAAATGGGTGGTGACTGCCATCCAACCCCACACAGGGAGGACATCACCAATCACAGCCTCTGTGCAGAAAAAGATTGGGCAGCCAAAAAAAATCATGATAGTGAAACACCAGTACTTATGAGCCAGATTCTGTCTCAAGTTCCTCCTACGGATTAACTCAGTTAATCCACATAATTTACAACGCTACCAGCAGTTATACTATCCTCACTTTGACAAAGAAAACAGGGACACAGAGAAATCAATTAACTTGCCCAAGTTCATATAGCCAATAAGAAATAAAACCTAGAACTTGAACCCAGGTTGTCTTACCAGAGAGCCTGTCCACCCCAGTGACTTCTCCTGGCTTCACTGTCTTACACTGTCAGAGGGCTGCACTCAGAAAGCTGCTCCTATGGTGAACTGAAATGAGTCTTGAAGTTCTACTTGACTTTGCCTGAATTCAATGCTCTAGAGCTGCGTGGATTAGAAGACAGCTTCCCTTTGCATGTGACAGCCTACATCAAGGCATTTGAAGCCATGTCCTTTCCACACCTATGTCCTCCAGATGTTCCTTCTGTCACCTTTCTGTGCTGGACAACCAGAATCTGTCTCTCCTGCAAGTACTAGGGAAGTCCTGGGTTGAAGTAAATTAAGCCAGAAGCCGCTGGATACAGAATCCTAACAGATTGTATTATCCTTCTAACATTCTCCCGGAGCCAGAAGGACCAGGTAAGGTCTCGAAGCCACCACACGGTGGAGACAGCAGCTTTCATAAGTACCTTATAAGCTCTGTTATTTTAGAACTTCCCAAGATCTTTTCACTGTTCCCACAGCTATCTGGGCACTATGCTATTTTTTCTTCATTTCCCGAGACCCACTGTCCACCAGATCCATGTACTGGGCCCTGAGGTTGCATCACAGCTTTTCTTGCTCTCAAGTTCGGTTTGGCCAGTGGGAGGCACCAGCAGATTGAATGGGGGGTGAGTGGAAGGAAAATCTTGCATACTTATTCCTCTTGCATGCTTCCTGCCTGGCTGTGGATTAGGCCCATGTCCTATCTGGTGACTGCTCTTCCACAGCTCCAGTTCTTCCCAGCTCTGGCACCGCTGTTCTCTTTATGCCTAGGGTGGCAGCAATATCCCACTGCTACACTCCTTGGTGCCTCCCTATCTCTCGTGGGCCTCTTAACTCTCATGATACCCTCTGCAGCTGAACTCCTTGAGGTGTGCCATCCAATTTATGTTAGAGCCTGCCTGGCGCAGATACCTATATCCCTACCAATTTTGGGGTTTGTGGGGAAAGGGAACTTTATTAAGGAGTACGCTTGCTGAATTGGTGCCTTTTGCCCTGGGATATTTGTCCTGACCTTGAGATCTTTTGGCATCTTACAAACTCAACTCAATGCACAATTAGTCATCGTGGCACTTGACTCCAAACCTCCAAAATACTAAATTTATATTTCTTTCTATAGCAGTCTTATTTACGGTGCTATAAATGAACCTTAGGTCTGGAGGCATAGTGACTGATCAGTGGCATCCTAATAAAATTAGCCAGGAAGGAAGGGAGATAGTATGGGGTTGGTCAAAGTCAAGCCATCTGAAGATGATTCTAGAAGTCAGTGGGAGATAGAGCAAAGCTTGACAGTTTGAAAGAACCTGCCCAGTCCTATTTTAATACCAGATCTCAAGCATCTATGAAAATTAAACCAATATTCCATCTTTCTGCCTGTCATGGCATGACCACAAAGTAGACAGAGAGATTTTTTGCCAGATTTGGGAGCCACGTTTAGAATGCTCTGATTTAAACATAGATGATATGACAGCGGCTGTGTGTGAGGTAGGAGGGTAAGAGATGAGAGGAGGGCATGGAAGGGAACTCTTGGACATGGGGTGTCTGATCTCAGTGTACAAGCCTCCGATTGGAAGGCAGGAGCACAGGTGCCCCCCCGGTCACCACTGCTCCTCTGTGGTGGAGCTTCTTCTTACAGGAACAATTCTAGTGGGCTTTTTCCAGGATTCCCAGGTGAACATCAGCGGGGCCTAACTTATTCCACAGGTTGATGAGGCTCCTCAGCAGCACAGGGAACCAGCTAGTGATAAACAGCATTGTATCTCAGCGCCTTCCAGGGGCTCATATCCTGCCAACTCCCTCATGGAGACATGCTCACACTTGTCAGTTATCTCACAGTGCCCGCCCTAACACTAAGCCCACTAATCCTGCTGTAGTTTAGTCCTGTTCATAGTGCTGGGGGCCTATCTTCTCTCTTGTTCTAGACAGAAATCTCCAATGAATACAGACCATAATTAGAATAGCTTCTTTTGGGCTAGGACTGTAGCTCAGTGGTCCAGTGCTTGCCAAGTGAGCACGCAGCTAGGGATTCAATCCCTAGCACCACAAAAAAGAAAGGAAAAAAAGGAACTTGTCTTCTGTGACAGCCACCCAGTGGTATTGACCTATATTGAAGTCGCAGTCAATAACTCCTAGGTCGTGTTTGTCATTTGACCAGTGGAAGTAAGGAAAGGAAATAGTGCCATCAATGGGCATTATCCAGGGATCAAAGAGGAAATTAGATGTGGGTTTGGAGTAGTGACTTAGAAATGGTGTCAGGGTGCAGCCTGGACTGGTGGGTTTAGGGACTGTATCCAGAGTTTCTCCTTAGGAGTAGGTTCCCAGGTCTCAATCATTGCCTATATTTCTGGTCTGGATGGCTCCTTTGACTTGTGGCAGGCTGGCAGAGTGCAAGGTCAATCACAAGGCTGTTTGTTTCTCATTTCAGCACTCCTTGATTCTGCTGCTTCTCCCTCTACCTGCTTTGGTTTACTTCTGTTTATCCCTCGAGTTGGAGCTCTGATCTTCCTTTGGGATGCCTTGACCCAGACAGTCAAGTCCTTCTATTCATCTGTAGCATCATCAGGGAATTCTGTGCATTTTCTTCCTGGCACTTATCATAATTGCATCTGATTATTCATGGCATTTTGTGTCCCATGTCAGGAAGGCAGGCATCAGGTCTGTGTTGTTCACCACCATTTCCCCAGCACAGTGGTTAGCACAGAGACTTTCATCATATGTTTGTGGAATGAAGACACAAATCACATATGTGAGGTCATCCAGCTCAATTCCTGTCCCTCTGCCACATCTCTGGCAAAAGAGAAGCCTGTCTATGTCTTAACAGCTCTGGAGATGAGCTCAGACACCTGCAGGCGGTCTACTTCTTACATATTTGGAACGCTCTTCTTAATGTTTGCAAATTCTTCATAGCGGCATTACACATGCATATGGCTTCTTTCTCCTTTCTGACCTTTTTCACACATTATTACCCACACATCAGTATTCCACCATTCTAATGAACATTGTGAGCAGTTTTATCTTGTTCCTGTCTCAGTTAAGGAGTGGAAAAGGAGGTCCCTCGCACTTGTTCCAGAGCTCAGCAAGGGCTCTTGCTGACATGGCACTTTCTTTCCGGTGCTTCATGGGACTTCATAATATCCCTATAACTCTTGATTCACCAGGCTTTGTGCTTGGGGGCAGGGTTCATGTCCCCAAGGTACCTCGCTACATCTTCTGGGCCTGGCACACAGCCTAGCCCATGACAGGCACACATTAAATATCAGTTGGATGAAAGCCTGATGGCTCTCTCATCCTTAGAAATGTTTCAGATGCCAGACCAGGGGTAACAAAAGCTTTTTGGTTGCTGAAAAGCAATACATACACAAATGACTCGGTTTGGTGACCCAATGCTGGATCCAGGGGGTGAGATGGAAGTTTCAGATGTCCGTCTATGCTGTGGAAGAGATAAAGACAAAAGGGGTGAGAAGCTGCACCTTGAGCTTGGTGAGGAGGAACAGACAGAATGCGGTTTATCAGGGTACGTTAGCAGTACTCTTAAAGTCTCTCTGTTTTTTTCTGTCCTTTCCCTTTATTTTCTGCCTTTTAAATTAATGTCTGAGTGTGAGTGAGATCCAAAATACATAGGAGTTCAGACTGTGGAAAGAATCTGAACTTCTTTTTAGTGTATTGTTAGCTAGTTTGTTTTTTTGCAATTTGAACTCAGGGCTTCATACTTGAGAGGCTAGCCCATTTGAGCCATGCTTCTAGCCCTTTTTCTCTGGTTATTTTTTGAGATATTTTTTGAGATCAGTTTGGTCTGCAACCCTATTTTTGGCTTCCCGCGAAAGCTGTATGATAGGCTCATGCTGCTGTGCCCAACTTGGTTGAGAGGGGGATCTCACAAACGTCCCCCCCCTCAGGCTGGCCTCAAACCTAGCTAAGATTATAGGCTTGAGCAACTGTGCCCAGCTGTGGCTAGCATTTTAAGTAGGAAGTTACTTGTAAAACTTATCATTTTCGGTTATCCCAATCAATAACATGTTTACTTTAACTGAATAAAATCACTTAGTGTTCATTCCTTCTTAGTTTGTTTATTCCAAATGTAAAGCAGGGGAAACTTCACGTAATTGCACGTGATGCTTCTTTGTAATGTGCCCTTGGCAAACTGACACCAACTTAAATGAAAACCTTAAAACATTTATCTCTGCACCATGGCAACGATGGATTAATAGCTCCCTCAGCCAAACAGCGTGATGTCGGTCCGAGTGCATCTCGGAGAGTGGCAGTGTGCTGACTGGGAATCAAGGACCACTAGGGAAATGTGGGATTTAGAGATCTTGGATTACTCGTGTGCCGAGTGAGGGTGCCAAGCCTCAGAATTGCTTAATTCCCTCTCAGATCTCATCCTACAATTCCAAGCATTCTAAGTGGGGCTGAAGAGCTGTGTTTTCCAAACTATGGACTGTGAATTCAGGGTGGCTCTGGAAAGATGAAAGTAGGTGAAACTTTGATAATACTGAGTCATATAGTGAGAGAGTAAAATCCAACATTTTGTTTCAATCCTCTTGATTAGATTGAGGGGAATTCTTAATTTGGTGCTAATAAATTCCAACAGCTGTTTCAACAATTGTTCATTTTCCCTTTTTACCTAAGAGGGTGCTGGCAACATTAACCTGAATTTTAAAGATTTATGCTTAATAACTATTTCATTGTCATCTAATTTATTTTATGGTTACCTTTTATTTATAAGTGCCACTGGTTTCTTCTTGGTAACAAAGTTTTAGTTAAGTAAAAAGTAGTGAGATAGCTTAAAGGAAAGTATAGTTTGTAATGATTTAAAGAGGTGGTATACAGATACAGCAAAAGCATCAGGGTTTTAAAGAATATCTCAAATTTGGGGAATGCCTCAAAAGACGAGGTGATTGAGGAAGAAAAGGATGATTAGGTTCTCTTACAGCTTAATGAGACAGTCATGAAAGAAGCAGGAAAAAAAGTTCATGTGTGGCTCCAAAGAAATTACACACCAATCGAGCAGTTCTTCCAACAAACACATTAGTTGGATGAAATGGCAAAGACAACACATTTAATTAGCTGGCCAGATATCATGCATGTATGTTTTTAGTTGAGGAGGCTCTAGCAGGTGACATAATAAAATCCCAAGGGGCTAATTTAATAGCCAGAGGCCAGGTTGTAAAGGCATGCTGGAGATCAGTGCTGCTTCCTGTGCCTCAACACACACCCCAGGGATCTGCTTCACAGCCTCAGGAACCCAGAATCTGGGCCTTGCTGTGCAGCCTGGGTGGCCCTACCCACCCCTCCCTGCAGTAGCAGGGGCCCAGATTCACAGGCCTTCCTGGCATTTGTCACAGCCCAGTAATTCAGGACCAGGGCCTCAGCTGGTCTGTCGTATGCCTGGGGATGCCACTGTGTTTCTGACTGGCTGTATCACTGTGGGCAAATTCCCATTCTCTTTACACTTGGTTTTTTCACAGGCAAGGTGAAGACAAAATTTCTTGGCTCATCTGCCTCAGGGTATTAAAGGAATCAAATCAGACAGCAACTGTAAAGACACTTTGCAAGCTGTCAAGTACTGTGACAATATTAGCTATAATGATTAATAAATGACCTTAGGCTAGGGAAAGATGGCATGAGCACCTCAGAGAGGCCACCATCTTGGTCAGCATTGGTAAAGATTAGGACCTCAGATGCCCCAGGTTCACTTAAAACCTACAGGGCATACAGTACGCTCCCATTTTTAAAGTGCCCTCACATCCAATGTCTTAATCGCCTCTAAACCCCATGAGGCAGGTCTTCTTATCAAGGAGTCCAAGGAAGCAGGCACGCATTTGGGAGTGGTTGCACTGAGGTTGCTGACTCTGTATTGAAGCCTAGCTCCCACAGCCTGTGGCAAAAGATGGTCACGTAAGACTTCTGATCTGGCGTCATTCATCACTAGCTTGCTTACCTTTAGCTTCTTCTCTGCCCGGGCTGCCTGTTTGCAGATGGGATGCCAAACCTCAGAACCTAAGGAGCCAGGAAAATAACAAAGGCTCAGACCTTTTAAACCTGCCAGTATTAGGAATCTCTTCCCATCTCCCACCTCCATTTACTCCCAGCTCACTCTCCCCTGGAGAGCTACTGGCAGACCACCTTGACCAGGCATATGTGTTTTCTGTCAAGATTCAGGACTCACATGACATCCTCTTGCAAATGTTCTTACCTGCCAGCGGGGAGTGACTTCTTTGTCCTCTGGGCTCCATGGTACTCTATGTCTCTCTTCACAATACGGCCTTAACTCACCTTAGATTGTGGATTAAACACCCCAACTACATTAAGAGCGCCTTCTGGGCAGGAACTGAGCTTTATCCATTGCTCTATCTCCCACAGCATCTGCGTTGGGATTTGCCCTTACTGGAGGGCCATACATGTTTGTGGGTGAGTAGATGAGTGCATTACTGGCAGTGAGTGAATATAGCAGGTGGTCAATAAATATCTGTTGAACAAATGAATGGCAGTGGGGGTGAAAGAAAATGACAGACCGTGGTAAACCCCAGCCTTTCTTTCTCTTCCAAGACTTATGACAGACTTGTGACTTATCAGAGCTATCACATTTAGTGGGGAGAAGGTATCATGGTATATATTCTGCTTGAGAGCATTGTCTTGACCTGCTAATTCCTCAGAGACTCCAGACCCTTCAAATTTAGTATATTTGTTTTGCTAATACCCACATTTCTTCTTCTTCTTCTTTTTTTTTTTCTATCGTGGGTGGGGGTCCAGTTGGCTGGCCCCAAACCTAAGAGGCCAATTTGGAAAGGCATGAGCAACAGGTGGCTGGTCACATGTTGAGAAGAAGCCCCAAATATTGCACATTCCCACTGAAGGGACAGGTGTCCTGGATTAGAAGGAAAAATAGGAACATATTATCCCTCTGGAGCCATTCCTCTTTTAACCAGCCCTACAAGGAAAGGCACCAACAAATGGCTAGATTCCTGAAGCCCAGATGGTATTTGTTTGTCTGACTTGGTTTCTAGGATATACTTTCCATTATAGTTTGTTCTCTGGAGCTCCTAGGGACTGGAATTGTCACTAAAGAACAGGAGGTGTTATAAGGTCAAATAATCAGAACTGAAAGAGAAGATTGGGCTAGGCTCTTGTCTCTGTTTTTCCACAATACATCCTTTCTTTGGGTCCCCGTTTCTTCATCTTCCTAACAATATGGTGGGATTAGGATGGTCTTAGAAATTATTTTCATCTCTAAAATTCTTATTCTAGGGCCAGTTTTGTCTTTTATGGAATAAGAATTTTCAATTCTTTTATAATCTTTGGGTTTGAATTAAGGGCCTCACTTTTGCAAGGCAGGTATTCTACCACTTAAGCCACTCTGCCAGCCCCAGAATCTTCAGTTCTTATCTTACATTCTTGGGTGTTCTTAATTATTCAACAGGAGTTTAATTCCTTCTAATGTAAAATGCAATTTTACATTAGAGCCCAGTAGAGGGACCCTAGGTCTGTGGCTTGAGTCAGCAGTCACAGGGTGTGTCCACTATCAACTGAGCTGTGGGTTGGGATCTTTGTTTTTGGGAGTTTAAATTAGAGAGAGCATTTCCGGTTCCTCTCTGAGTTGCTCCTGAATCTACCGGGAGTTGTTTATGACTGTGGCTGTGGCAGGAAACACATGTCCCAGGTCATTGTAGGAAATGGATTAGGTGGACACAGAGGTCTGAGAAGGTCACAAGATTAAGTGAAATATACATAAGAAAGGTGAAGGGGCAGACGTATTTGTGGGGAGAAATGGTATGGAAGGTGTATGGGGGAACTTGGACTAGATCATCCCTTGCTTTTGGACTCTATGACATTGACATATCTGATCTGAAATAAAACTGAGCCACAATTAGCCATTAGCTTTAGCACTTTGTATGTGGGAATGCATGTTTATATGAGAAATGAGGTGGGAGAATAAAAAATCCCCAAAAGAAATGAAAATAAAAGGAGGTTGAGGAGTTGGCAGTGTATCATATATATAAAAGAGCGTCAAAAATACTTTGCTGGTGGCTAGATAACTTAGATAAATGAAGGTAAAAAGGTGATTTTTTTCATGAAGATGTGTTGACATGATGGTCTGCTGAGTGTATGCTCTTGGTTAATGGACCAACACTGTGACATTAACTGAAAGATAACACTCAGAGGGGCAAAGGTGGTTATTTTCTTCTATGGACTCTATTCCTGGGCCCGACATGGTGCCTGGTCCCTGTGTGCTTAATAAAGAAACACGTGAATGACTGGCTGGATCCTACTTTTGTATTTTTAAAAAGATACAAGGTGAAAGGCATGCAGAGAAGGATGATAGCCAGAATAGAGAGGGCACTCAAAATTAGGCCCTAAGTCAGGATCTTCATGTTGAGAAGACTGAGCAGAATGGTGAAATGTGTTTTTGAATACTTTAATGGTTGTCTGTGAGGAGAGACTTTCATCTGCTTTACAAGTCTTACAAAATAGAACAAGAACTAAGTGGCAAAGTTCCACAGAAGGAAAACTAACATTGAGAATTGAATGGCTTCATTTAATAGAGAGTTCCCTGCTACTAGAAGTTCTTAAGTACACAGTGAGTGGGAAAAGGCACAGCAATGGCATTGTGGAGGGAATGCATAACAAGCCAGTTACACTGAAGGATTTTTACCAACCATCCCAGTCCTCAGGGATTCAGTTTCTACTTTAACAGGTTTCTCTGTATAAAGAAAATAATTATTGGTCCTTATCCAATAATCCCAAGAATGTAAATTCTTTGGGGAGAGGGATTCATACCCATCTTATCTATAGATACATTGGCAGGGATGGAAGATTCTCAGTAAACACTCATTGAATGATTGAAAAACAAGAGAAGTAGCATAGTCAACCTAGGCTAGTTAGATCATCTGAGCTGGGCCAGAGATCTGGACAGGTAATACATTCTAGGCTCTGATCTGAGAGCTACAATTCCAGATTGTTTATAAGAATATCCAGTAGATTGGGGTTTATCAAGGTGTGACATGTGTGGACTGTCTTACAGCCTGATAAAATGCACATTTCTGGGTTCCTTTCAGAGCCACTGATACCAGCTCCCTGGAGGTATGCCTGGGAATCTGTGACTCAATGCTCTCCAGGTGATTTTATGATACCAAATATGAGAACCAGAGAGTTACATATCAGACAACCCTCCAGATTTGTTTCTTTGGAATGTAATAGGAAAAGAAAGCAGTTTTTACATCACAGAACTCTAACGTCTTGTAAGAATGCCATCCTTTTTGCTTATTAGACTCCTGGTTTCACAAATTACACTTTCTTGTCCTCCAAGATTGTCACCCACAACTCCAGGTTCTGCAGTTGAAATCTGATATGATAGTTAGAGGGATGGAGGATTAGCCATTCCTGTGGACTCTCTGGGGGGATGTGACCATGTTTTCTCATCCTGAACAGAGCCAGCAGACAGTCTTACCTGGTTACAGAAATCCTATACCTACAGCATGGGGCTGCAGCATGGGGCTGATTGAATGTTGGGGAACCCACCTACCTCTCTGCTGGACCTTGGTATTCAATTCACAAGTTTTTTTTTTTTTTTTAATGCCAAAGCTGGAGCACTGAGATTTCAAACATTTTAGAATCTGAGAGGTTTTAAACACTGCAGGTCACTATGGTCTTCCCTGTGGACCCTTCCAGTGTCTAACTCAAAGTCCTTCTCACTCATCCATGTAGGTGTTTGAGTTTTTGGCCTCATCCTAGACAGGGAATTCTCCTGAAGCAGGCTTCTTTACCAATCTCTTTGACCACAGCAGTGTTCCACCTCTATGACAGCAGCACTGCCTTTGTTATGTAGACTGGATAGGACTTTGGAGTTGCTCCTTTAAAACTCCCACCTAGATAAACAGATGTGATATGCCTGTACAATGGAATATTATTCAACCATGAAAGAAATGACATACTGATGCTCTGATGTGGATAGACCTAGAAAACGTTATGTTCAGGGAAAGAGGCCAGTCACTAATGAGTACAGACTGTATGATTCCATCTATATGAAAAGCCCCAAATAGGTAAATCGATAGACTCTGGTGGTTGCCAGAGTTAAGGGGTGGGAGGCCTGGACAGCAACTGCTTAATAGGTACAGGGTTTCTTTTTGGGGCTGAGGCAGAACTGTATTGAGGTGGTGATCACACAACATTGTGAGTGTATTAAAAGCTACTGATTCATATGCTTTAAAAGGGTTAATTTTATATTACGTGAATTTTATCTCAATAAAAATATCCCTGCCCCAGCAGGTGAACTGCAAAGCACAGAGGACTTTGTTCTTCTGTGACTAAGGGCACAGACTCTGTGGGAGGGAGATGAGCAAGCCCTTCTGTGGGATCTGTGGTGCAAAAACAAGGTCACTGTTATTATCATCAGGGGCCTTAGCAGCCTTCCCCATCAGGCACACTACACATTATTTACTGCAATGTTATTAAGAGGTTCAAATCCTGCTTATAACAATTCCTGCATCACTAGCTGCATTCTCTAGAGCAACTCAGTTACCACTCTGTGCCTTGGTTTCCCCATCTGTAAAGTGGGGATGATGACAACATCTGCCTCTTAGTTTTTTTTTTTTTTTTGGATGGTTCTGGGGTTTGAACTCAGGGCCTCACACTTGCTAGGCAGGTATTCTACCACTTGAGCCACTCCACCAGCCCTTTTATGAGTTGGGTATTTTTGATAGATGGTCTCTGAAGTATTTGCCAGAGGTTGGCTCCAAACAACAATCTTCCTGATCTTTGCCTCCTGAGTAGCTTGGATTATAGGCATGAGCCACCGGCACCCAGCTCTTAGGTTTGTTTTAAGGATTAATGAACTAATACATACAGAACACTGAGAACACGGTGCCTACAATAGGCACTATGGGAGAGTTATTATTGTTGTTATGAACATTATCTCCTCTCTCCCACCCCCAAAATAATTTGTGTGTCAGCAGCTAGTTTGGATAAGGAGAAAGGGATCACGGAGGGACTGATGGGCAAGG